TGGGCTGTTGGTGGACATTCCAAACCAGTGAGGCAAGCGCAGTGTGACTGCTGTGGGACTGAGGGAATAAGGGCACGCCTTTTAATCCACAGGGCTTCTCATGCCTGCGGTGGTTTGGGGGCGGGGGCGGGGGGGGGGGGGGCTTTAGAGCTGATGTCTGTAGACGGCTGTCAGTAGGCTGTGTGATAGGGCCATGGTGGGGGGGGGGATGGGGGTGGTGGGGATTAACTAGCACCTTTTCATGTGGAATTATGTGGATTTAGGCAATGACAAAGACACCCAGATACCCCTCCTCACCCCCCCCCCCCCCTTTGGTGCCCAAACAGCAAATGAAAACTCCCACCACCTAACAAAACATGTTTCCACTCGAAACAAACCAGATTGTTTCACAGTGGCTTCTTCAGTGGCATCATCAGGACGCCATACTGCGGTGGGCATTTGGGCGGGGTGGCGATTGGGATCCCCCTCTCTGGGTTCTAGTGGGCTATTCCCCCTGGGGACCAGGTCAGGTTAAGGGACCCACTGCTCGCTCTGGATATTGCATTACCGCAACTCCCCCCTTGAGAACCCTGATCAGAACAGGCTCAGAGTGTCCTCTTCAGCCCTATAATCCGGACAGATAGACCCCCCTCTGATCCACTGCTACATGCAAGACAGACACAAGCGTCGCTTTCATAGTCACACTCGAGTGAGGAACTTCACCTTAATTACTCTGGTAAAAATCCAGTCCTGTAGACGGCCTTCAACCCGTGCATCATATGAAATTCACAGGATCCCCTGTTGCCCTGGGTAACTGTGGAAGCAGCAGATAAATAATGCAGTGTGTTGTAATATGATCTGCCGTTATTGAGATTGTTTATAGTGAACTTATTTTCTCTCGTTGGCGGGCTTGAGCCACAACACGTGATGCAGGATTGCGACTTTGGTCGTGTATCTGTAGTGTTATATAACGTAAAGGAGACGATTCCTCTGTTGTGGTACGTCTGTCACGAAGCGTGCCGTCAATGCTGTGCCTTTAGTGCTCACGCCCATAGCTGCCCGTGCTTATTCCTGCCCCAAGTCAGACATCTTGTGAAGTTGACGGAAAGCTATAATGGCTTTCTTCCATTGGCCCAGGGGCTCTCCCTTCTTATTGTGGCTGGCTGGGCCCTAACTCATGTCTTCGTGATTGGAAGCTAAAGTAAAAGTTCCCCAGAGCCACAGTTCTAACACGGATGTGCCCGGTCTTTGTGTTTTGGTGTTTGTGCTAGGGGCTGTGCGGCACTGATCCAGTCAGAGAAGCACCTCACCACAAACGAGAAGAGCCTCATCACAAACGAGAAGATCTTTCTCGTTCCCTCCACTTACACCAGCTGGGGGTTGGTCGTGTTTGGTCAGTTTCTCTGGCCTCAGCTCATCCTCAGCCATGGGGGCGTTGGTCTTGCCCTGAACTACATAGAGAAAACGCTCAGACCATTCAGACCTCACTTGCTCGATCTAGAGCAACCAGAGCATGATCGCTGCCTTCAAAGCTTCTCTGCCAGTAGAATTCCCCAAACTGCAGGTGAAACCCAATCCACAGCATCGGGTGATGCCTTCTAATTAACTAATATAATCGCCTGACTGTAGCTCACAGTGGGTGTTATGGCCAACATTGTCCAGCAGGTGGCTCCTATGGGGACCACAGTCACACTCATTTTGTCCTGGGCTTAGATATACTGTGGATTTGGTTTGTGTTGCTCTGCATGGCCTTTTGCACACTAATAGCCCATCTGATAGAATGTTTCCCATTGCCCATCTGGGTTAATGATGGTTCCTTCCTATACCAGAAAGGTCTATGCATCCCCACACACATCCAAAATTCATCTGCACCTCATTCCCCCCACTCTAAAACGCCACTGAATCAGCACTACCCTGGTGACAGAGGCTGTCACCGGTCACTGTGACAGGTCACCGAACACAACGTGTTTATCCCCCGTGGCTGTACCTGATAGAGACGGAGCACCTATGTGTTACCCGCAGGCGCCTGGAGGACAGGATTCTGCTGGAAAAGTGCATAATCAGCATGCCAGGCCAGAGGACTAATTAACGTTTCGGGTTTCTTCTGCATTTAGAGGATGCAGTGAAATCTCTTTGTCGCAGCATTGTTTTCCTGCAGTAACATAAGGTGATGGGGGGCGGGGGGAGCTCCAGTGTGATATAACAACAATAGTGTGAGACAAGGGACAGTAGTGAGGTACATTAAGGCTCCATGCATGCAGGAGAAGTGCAAGAAATTAAAGAGTGAGTTTCCAAAACATCCATCCATCCATCCATTTTCTGTAACCGCTCATCCTATTCAGGGTTGAGGGGGGATCTGGAGCCCATCCTGGAGGCTATGGGCACCAAGGCAGGGAACAACGCAGGACGGGGCGCCAACCCATCGCAGGGCACAAGGCAGGGAACAACGCAGGACGGGGCGCCAACCCATCGCAGGGTTCACTCACACACCATTCACACCTACGGACCCTGATACTGTTTAAGTAACCAAAACTCACTCCGTGCTCATGTAATCCAATCTACTCGCTAAGTCCACAGAAATTCTTTCGAAAAACATATCCCATGAACTGAGTGAGTTTTGGAAATTGGCTCTTCAGTTAGTGTGCAGAGCGGGAAAGCTGGCAGCGTGTAAGTTGGCAATAATTAACAGAATCCCGGAGCCAGATCATTGGTGTTAGGAGTCCTAATCGTTTACGGGAACCCATTGGAAATGCATCCCCCACGTTTGCTAGAAGGCAGTGGTGTGAATGGGCAGGCAGGCTGGCCTCCATGACGATGATGTTCTCCAGCTTCTCTCGACAGCAGGTGCTGTGGGTGATTTGTGGCTGCGGGGGCACAGAGCCGATGACTTTGGATGCCTTCTTGACAGCTGCTTGCAGCAGCTTGAGGTCTTGGGTCCACACTACGATGTGATACTTCCGGTCCGGGTGTCCGCAGAGTTTGTTAGGGCTTTTGTTGCCTGGAACGCTTTAGCCTTCTCCGGCAGTGCGATTTCCTTTGAGGTGAGCTGGCGCCTCTGATTCTGAAGCGGCTGACTCTTTCCACGGATGAGCCATTGATGTGAAGCGGGTTGTGACTGCCACTCTATTTTCTGAATTCGACGCCGATCTTATCCGTCTCGCTGGCATGTAGAACACGGTGGTCCTCGCGGTGCCATTCTGTCAGGTCTTTACACACCCCTCCTGTGGGCGCGCTGATCATCGCCGTCAGGACGGCGTCACCGGCGGACTCCGCCACGCTGTCGTGCTTTGCCAGCCGGTCACAGGTAAACAGACCGTGTAACCAGTTCAGTTGTGCATCCACTGAATCACATTCAAGATATGCGGCTGAGATACTTACACTCCTCTGAAGAGGACCTTCAATGCGCCGAGGTTGTTTCGGTTTATCTGCAGATAATGTTCAAGCCGTCTCCGCACATGTGATCCATCAACTTCAAGCCTGCAGATGTTGTATGTTGATTAGGACTGCAGTTTATAAGAAATACTTAGTGTTGCAGCAATTAATGGAAAGTATTAGGGTAGTCTGCTCTCTGCGGAGTGTCCTTCCCCCTCTGGACGCCAGTAACATTCTTCTTCATGTGTGTGTGTGTGTTTGTGTGTTAGAACAGTGTGTTAGAGGTAGGAGAGCAGTGCAGTGACCCCCCAATTGGTGGCCCTCACGAGGTGCGATACATCAGCCGGAGCCCATCTCAGACACGCGATCGCTCTCTCTGGTATCACTCCCCCTATCCCATTAGTGCATCAGTGGTCACGCCTTCCATTCAGGAAGAAAGTGACAGGAGGAGAGGGAGATACAAAGGAAGGTGCCAAGCAACTGGACCTCCCCCCCCCCCAGAGGGCTCTCTGTGCTTTTATGTGGTATCCTTCTCCCTGCTTGAATAGCTCCTGCATTTTATTGTAATTGGCTGAAGGCAGCTTTTCATAGGTTTCCGATGGGCCTGCGAGCTCATTATTTGAAAAAACTCTGTGTATTGTTCCCAGTCTGGGCATCAAAAGCGCACTTGTGTTACGGAAACATGATCTTTTATTATCTAGTTTGCAGGAATTTTCTCGCATATACATATTGGAGGTTCTAGAGCAAGGGCATAGCTTTGGGTTTGGAGGGTAGGGACATGTCTACCAGTATTGCCAGAGTACCGCGTGGGTTTAAGGGGGTGGGGGGTTCGGGGCCGATTTGGTCCCTATTAGTGTTGAAACCAAACCGGCGTCTTTTTTCTTGAGAGACGTACCTACAGATAACATGTAAAAGCAGGTGTTAAGGAAGTGTTCTTTCCTTGTTTTGAGCCCTACATTCACTGGCGAGATGTTTTCGCTGTAATTACACGCAGACAGATACTAGGTGTGCTTGCTATCCGTTATGGTCACAGCACACCAGCGGGGCTCAATGTGCAGCACTAATCAAGATATGGAGATCCCATTTCCTGCTGTTCTGTTCGCATCCCTCTTTACTCTCCCATCTCTTTGTAGTGGTACTCAAGAGAGAGATTTTTAGTTTCTTATTACCGGCTCACTCCACAAATCCTGGTTCGGACCTTTATTTCCTTATTTCAAGCAGCCGTTTCCATGACCTCATGTTTAATACCGTATTCCAGATGGGAGAGAGTGGGGACCATTGTACCCCGCGAACGGAAAGCGGACATGTGACTCCCTGAGTTTCTATTCCCTCCATTTTGAGAGGAACCGCAGGTATTTGACTAAGTCTTCTGTGTTTGCATTAAGAAACTAGCAAAGGTTTGGTCCCTGTGTCCTCATGTCTCTGTAGCGGTTGTTTTGTTTTCTTGGCTTAAAATGAGAACAATAAATCGCCCTTGTTGCCTTTGTTGAAGAAGTGCTGGGTTCACGCGAGGGTTGTGTTGAAACCTGGCCTCACGTTTTTGCTTCAATCACATCCAACGAAGGGTTTCTGATCACCGTGTTGACACGACTTTCCTAAACTGTGGTGGCTCTTTCTCATTAGGGATCACTGCTGTCTGTGCGTTGCAGGCATCTGTCCTGTGCGAGGATGAAGGAGCTTCTGAAGCTGGCGCGGCCTTTCATCAAGCGAGCTGGTGCGGTCTCCTTCTACGTGAGTATAACCGCTGGGATACGGAGCACTAAGCTCCAACGGCGCCTATAAAACTTCCAGCTGTTTAACTGGCCAGCGGGGTAACATTGTAAGCTGCACGCATCGCTCGAGGGAAGAAAAATGAAGCTGAGTGCCAGAATATTCTAGAAGGCCTAAAACATGAGGTACTGCTATCATTAATTCACAAAGAGCGCTTGTTCCAAGGCTGGGTATTTTGTGTACTTTAATCTGTCGCATTTTAACCAGACCTTAGTTCATGAGAAGTGGCATGTTGTCATGTCGTATGAGGCGTTAGAATTTGGACCGGAGTCACCCCCTCGTCTGCCTCCCCACCTCCCACCACAAACTGTCAGCCAATGTCTTTGTCCAGCAGACATAACACAGCAGTTGGGTTTTATTTCCCACCAACCGTTCAGAGAGTTTAATCCCTTTTGCCTCCATCGCCCGTGTCTGACAGCGTGAGAGGAGAGGATTACGGCTTCACATTTGCTACCTCCACGTTCATGCCGGAGGGGAAATCAGCAGTCTTTTGGGGCGCAGGTGGCACTGTATAACTGCCACGTTCCTGGCTAATGCCCGGCGCTTTCCCAGGGGCAGCCCCGCTCTGAATGCCAGGTTCACCAACCCCGCTCTGAATGCCAGGTTCACCTAGCCGTCAATCTACGATGAAAGAACATCCGCGGGGATACAAAATGGGGGGGACCGAGGCCAGTCTCACGCCTCACCGCGCCCTCATACAAAAATGCAAAAAGCGCAGCAACGGCGGGCAATCTAACAGGACGCCCGTAGTCCGCAATGAGACGACCCTGTGGGTCCTTGAGGCCTTTTATGCAAATTGTGTGGGCACATTCAGGTGCACGCTGAGTCATTCTGTGTGACCGGTGACAGTTTGTGAGGATTGAGGGTGTGCCTGTCGTTTTACTGGCAGATCGGATGTGTGCACGTATGCGTGTTTGTGTGCTTCGCCTTTAAGGATCCCTGAATCGTACCAGGCTTTTCCTTGACAGCGCCATTGACTGTTCCGTGTGTGTCTTTCTTCTGATCGTTACCTATGCGTGTCGCTGTGTATGACCCCATATGAGGTCGTGTCCCCATCTCTGTCTGCCTTCAATGTTAATACGAATGCTGCGGATGATCACTGCCGAATTTTCGTTCTGATCATGTGCACAGCCTGTGCGTTTCCTTTGTACGTGGGAGTCTGCATTGTCGAGAAAGGAATTTTGTGTGTGTGAATGTGGAAGAGACTGGGAATAGATGTTGAACAGGGTCAGTTTTTCAAAGAGATACAGTTTTCTTCCCGCATAACTTCAATTCCCCTAAACACCACTGATGTTTAGTAAACTAGCACAACCTTACTTCTGAAAAGGGTTAAGGTTAGGTGTCATTTTTCTACTTTTGATTAATTTTTTTAATTGTCCCCAGTCTCTCCCGTATTTAACATCAGACACACTGTATGTTGCTGAATGATCTATGCCTCATCTTCTCACTAGCAAATGCTTACTTTTGGAGGTTAATATTAAGGTCTCCTATATGACCTTAACACCAAGAAAAACCAAAAACGTATTCACATTCATGGACTGGTCTGCAGTCTGGCCTCAGCCAAAAGGTCTGCTTCATTAACAGTCTACTAACTCACCTGCTATCTCATCCGCATGGTGCCTATTAAGTAGAATTTTCTCTTCTGTTGTTTGCCATTTGCTTGGTGGTACCATTTGGTTCTGATTTGTGGAGCTAAAAACTCATTGTAGTTCTATTTCTTGGAAGCAGATACCAGGTATAATTATATCAGCATCAAGGAGTAGGTGCCGATTCACAAAGGACAGATAAAAACAAGAATGTCGTTATTGTTATTGCCAGAAAAAAACTGCAGACAAGTTTCATATTACCCTGCCTGCAAAACTTTATGAATAGTGGAATCGTAATGTATTCCAGCTTGTTTTTCCCAAACCGGTCTAAATCTTCTTTTGGGATGCAGTTTCTCTTAAATCCTCTGCTGTCAGTACATGACAAAAAAAGTGTATAGGTCTTCTCCCAGATGAGAGAATAATAAGAAGAGTGATATTTTCTTGAATTCTTTAGTATCAGAGGAGCTTGATGCGCTTGGGATTAGCCTGATTAAATTTGTTGACCTACATTCCGCCTTCACCGAACATCTGTCGCGTGCCAGCAGAAGTTCCGTCTCAGCTGCATGCCGGATTGGGGTGTTTTGAGTGTTGCGTAACGAGCGCAATGTCGTTGTGCCCCCTGCAGGTGGCAGTCATCCTGGCCTTGCGTCTGTGGCTCATGGGAGGCTCCATGCCCCTCTTCTCCGAACAAGACAATCCAGCCTCATTTTCGCCACACCTCCTCACCAGGTATGGTAGACGTGGGACACACACACACACCCCAGATTCCAAAAGATAAGAGCATACTGTAGCTCCACAGTATGATTACACGAGGGGGGCTGTTATCTGCTGTCATGTCAGTATGGCCAACAGCAAGTTTTATACCTAAAGTCAGCACTGAATTGCCCTTCAGGCACCTGAACCCCCCCCCCACCCACTGCAGATGAAGAAACAGCACAATCAGCCCTTTGCAGATGTCTTCTGATGACACATAATCCCATATTAGCTGGGGTGCCTCCAAGACAGTCCCCTGAGAGATTCACTGTCAGAATGGCCCCCCCTGGTCTCGGCTGCTGTCCGTGAGCAGTGTGACGATTGGTGGCTACCTGCCTGCATCTGCTCTGTGACCACGTGACCACCCTCTGCCAACACTCCTACATCCACCCTGGTCAGCAGCAGCGTTGGCGCCGGAACAAATCTGACAGCCGGGCCCAAGATTTGCACGGGGGAGCTCCAGTATCAGGGGCAGGTGGGGGGAGGGGGGGCAGAGGACACTAAAAGTCGGCGATAGGGGGGTGGGGGGGGGGTGATCCATTAAGTGGGCAAACGGTGCATTTTCAGCACCTTTGGGTGATTGTTTTTGTGGGGGCAAAGCTGGTGATTTGCTGCCACCCCCAGCCGCTACTGGTCAGGGAAAACACCATCAAAATGGTCATTACAACGTTCACATGGCTGCTACTTTAAATGCATATATATATATATAATTGTTCCGGCGGCAGTGCTGCTGCTGACCAGGTTGGATGTTAGAATCTACACACACACACACACACACACACATATATATATATATATTTTTTTATTAAAATTTTTTTCAGGTCCTCACAAAGAAATGTGAATGCAATCAAAAAACTAAAAATGCCAAAAGTCTTGAATTTTGTATTTTTGATTATGGTTATGGTTAGGGCTGGGTAGGGGTTAAGGTTATCATAGTTAGCATTAGCATTTTTCCCATAGAAATGAAGCGGTCCCCATAAGGATATGTTTACCCAACATGTGCGTGTGTGTGTGTGTGTCTGTGTGTGTGTATATGGAACAAGTTAAGAATTTTTTATGTAGACCACAGTTATGACAAAGATGTAAACTATGCTACTGGGTATGATATAGAAAACTTATGTACAAAGCTATTGTTGGAAATGACCATTAATATAAAAACTTTGGCGAGTGATTTATAATTTCTGTTTAACCTCCTGCTCTTTGCTCCAGGATATTTAAGACATTACACACAGCTGCTGGTGAACAATCCGTTCTAGCCAGCATCCTAGAATACTTTCTTTACTGGTGGTAGTTTAATCCTGTAGAGAGTCGAACGGTGAGTGAATTTAAATTATGGTTATTTTTGAATGACTTCAGGCCAAGTCGGGGGGGGGGGTGGTTGCTGTTTATTTTTGTTTTTTTTGTTTTTTTTTTATCAGGCATGTCAGAGAGCAAACGGAAGGCCCAAGGCTGGCCCTTACACTGCCTGTTTGAAAGTGTTCTCTTAGCAGCAGATTGCTCCTCGTGTCGCTGCTGTAGATACAATCTTGGCGAACCGACATGAATTGTTAATGACCTGTTTTGCATTTTGCTCACTAGTCAGTTTGCCTCGGTTTATTTTACTGCCTGTTTAACTTATGAAAAAATTAAGCATTAATGATAGTCTGTATATCTGTAAGACTGGGGTGGGCGTTGGCTAGCCTCATACTCGTTGCTCCAGTGTGTGTTGAGCTCACGTCTTCTTCCCGTGTCTGCATGGATTTTCTGGCCTACTGCTGGCTGTCTGAGTAGCCAATAGTGTGTGTCCGTGTGCCCTGTGCTGGACAGGCATCCTGTGATGGACAGGCATCCTGTGATGGACAGGCATCCTGTGATGGACAGGCATCCTGTGCCGGACAGGCATCCTGTGCCGGATGTGTCTTACTCCATGCCCTATACTTCATGGCATAAGCATGGGACGACTCTGTTGTGAAAGGCGCTATATAAATATAAATAGAAATTGAAATTGAATTGAAATTGATAAGCACACGTTGACCTTCTGCTGGATAAGTAGCTATTGAAAATGGATGAACGTCTATAATACTCTTGCACGATGCCATAAAACCGTTCCTTCTCTTGATGCCTACTGTTCTGTTGATTAAAAGTAGCTCTCGTATTAATGAAGCACAGCTGGTGATTGGCGCTGTGTTCTCTGTGTTTAATGAAGAAATACTACACAATCATACCGCAGATGCCAGCTTGTAGATCCTGATCCAGCTTTATGGCACTCAGTGGAGTTACGTGACTGGTTGAGTGGGCTCCACGCTGACTGCTGAGCCATAGGATGGATGTATTTCTGCTGGAAAATATGCAGCTTTGTGGAACGAGGTCAAGAGTGACAGCACTGTGCAGTAGGCTGCCTGCTGGGCCACGCCCCTTTTTTCCCAGCCACACTTGATTGGGCAGCTGCCCCCTTGTGGTGGGAAAAAGGGGGCGTGACCCAGCAGGCAGTGAGCCATGAACTGTTAAGAGAAAAAAAAAACCCAAAGTGCCAAAGTGTAAATAAGCTGGATTCATTCCAGTTTGGGCATTTCTGCAGAATGTGCCCAGATGCAAATGGTTAAGCTATCGTAGAAAGGACATAAAGAAGGACGAAGACAGACACTTTATACCTTCCTTTTTCAGCAGATGTCGAATGCCCTATGGTCACACATACATGCGCAGGCCGTTCAGCAGCACTGGGGCTGACATGCGTTAATTGCACCCTCCCCAGGCTTCCCGCACCAGCACATGGGTCCCAGCCTGCCGGAGCAGGTGCGCATGGACGAGATGATATTACACTGCATTAAAATGCGGCGAAGCATTTTTTCTTGCGTCTTTATGTGTTTCGTTCACTCCGCAAGAAACAAGAATTGTTATGTTTTTAAAAGTATGAGTATAAATCACCACATAGTCTGTATTAAATACAGTGAGCTGTCTCAGTTGGATCACTGTGGTCTATGACCTGCTGATGTATGAGAAATTCGGGGGGGTGGGGTGATTTTTATTTGGCTATTGAAAATGTGAAATTTAGTGTAGCAACCTGTGTGTTTCACATCACTCTGCCAGCTGTGTCCACATTTCTCCCAGTTTGTGTGTGATTTACTTAAACATGTTTTCCTCATCCCACACTGCAGGGGCGTGGCTATGGGTGAGGGGGGGGGGGTGATACCATTGCCCACCCTACATATCCAAATGCCTACCCAGTGCTACCAGCACTGCCACTCCAACACTTTGTGTTTCATGTCCAGATGAAAGTTTAGTTCCAATCCCTCCCCCAGTTCCTCGCCGATGGGGCCACACCCCAGCATCACCAGTCCGTCAGGCTTGGCCTGTCGCTTCCTGTCAGAAACAGGGTTCAGTGCGGCTTCATCAGCTCGAGAGCCAGTTTGACACTTTCCCTCGTCCGTGCCGACAAGAGGCTCCTTTGAAATGGAAAGACAGGGGTGCCTATTATCCGGAGCACTGATGGCTACCCCCCCAGGCTCAGTATCGGAGACGCTCTCAGACAAACGGAAAAGCGAATAACTGTCGCAGGCCTCACCTGCCGTACTGGGAATGACCCCATTTGACTGTAAAGACGATCCCGCCCAGACTGGACTTCTGGTGCTTCCATACGAACAGATGAAGTTTCTATTAGTGGTACTCATGATACCTTGAGGAAAATCAATGCGTAGTCTGAGTTTCAAAAGGGTATTTGTGTGGTAATCAATGCCAGACGTGCCCTATCTATTCTGTACTATTCTTGTTCAAAAAAAATCGATGAGCAGTTTCATCAGTCTGTTACACATGCCAGGCTGTGCAACAATGTAGGTGATGCTTTGAAGGTTATATATATTTGGATAATCGTTCAGCGCCTTTCCGAGTCTCCTGCGAGGTTGGTTCCATCTTCACTCATTAGTGATGTAGGGATGGCGGACCGGGCTCTGTCCTGCAATCCAGCCTGATTTGGGGCGAGGACGACTTTGTCAAAGTCCCAAGCTGGCTGCTGTAGATATGGAGTGTTATGTGGCCTATTTAATAGAGTAGGATTTACGTTTTTTTCCCCCCATTACTTGTGATCTGTGAACAGGAAACACTGGAAATAGGGTGTGAAAATGAGGTCTGGTTACTGTCCCTGGAAAGAGGGTCATATGATGATAATTGTTCATTTTGGTCTGTTTAGTCTCTCTCTCTGGTTTCTAGCTCTGCCGTTTCTCTGTGTCTCTTACTGTTCCACCACTAAGCCCCCACTGGTGTCGCATTTTATGTCAGACTGGGACAGCCCAACAGTGAGCCAAAGCCACAAGCTTTTCTTTCTTTCATCCCGCCAAAACAGCAATCTTACGAGCGTGTGTCTGACATAGTTTTCTTGTTGTTGTCCTCTGTCCTCCGTAGAGAACACGCAGCTTCTGATCTGCAAAGGATGTTTCCATAACCTGTTTGTATAACAAATGTCAAAGTGTGCTTCCCAGAGACCAAATCTTATGTTTGCTTGGTTTTAAAAATCCTTTGTACCAAAACATCGTTTCTCCTTGGGATTTGTATTTTCTTGATAGTTTGAATTACAGCAGCACACACCTTGCTGTAACATACTAAACAATTTAATAATTTAGCTCTAAAGGTTTTTTTGGGCAGGGCGGGGGGGGGGGGCATACATTTTTCCTGTCTTCCTGATTCCTCTGCCCCTGTCTCTGTGCCAGTGTACCAAAAAGCAATTATTTATGCAATCTGTTGATTGAACATATTAAGTAGGGATGCACTGTTATCGATCACGGCATCGGGTATCGGACCGATACTATGCTCATACTCATACTCGTAAAAATTGATCGATACCAAGAACCAGTACCACTTAATTGCAACGTTACCTTAACACTTAAAGCCGCTACATTTTTTTGTGTTGCCCAATCAGATTTTGACATGTAGTGAGAGATTTGTCAACCGGAAACATTTGGGAAGGATAGATGCATAGAACACCGGCATTGGCAAATTGGTGAGTAAACGCAGAGGGTGTCCGCAGTTTGGACACAATTTAAGATAAAGGACAGCGGCAAAAGTAAAGCAGACTGTAAACTCTGTTCTGCTGAAGTGTCAAGAGGAGGAAGGAACAGCACGTGATTTAACACAAGCAATTTGATCAAATATCTAAAGACACACCATAGTACTGAGCAGACGGAGTTTGCTAAGCAAAGAAAAAACTAAACTGAAGCGTTATTTATATCTAACATTAAACTAAATAAGTTATTTAATGTTACAGGTTTCAACACAATATACTGATATACTACCAGGCAGACCAGTCACAGTTCATGCAGTCTGCGTCACCGCAACGTGTAGTCACATTTCTGGAGAGGTGCATGTCAGGCTATGGTGTAGGGTCCACGGCTAGTTAGGAAAGCTTGATATTATGTAAAAGAATGATCACAGTCTCTTCCACACACTGAGGCAGAATCCTACAGCTTATTAATTAAACACTGGTATTGGATCAGTACTTAGTATCGGCCGATACCCAAAGCCCAGGTATCGGTATCGGAAAACAAAAAATGGAATCAGTGCATCCCAAGTCATTTTGCAATGTACTTTTGCATTTCTTTAAAGAGTACTAGTCTGTAAATGACTGTATTTGTGAAACATTTAGTCATTTGCAATGTTTGAAAGGTGTCCCAGGCATAAGAGCCTCCGTATCATTTGAGGACCCAGGCCTGCATTAGCGACAGCGGACGGCGGTAACGAAAGCCCAGGCCTGCATTAGCGACAGCGGACGGCTGTAACGAAAGCCCAGGCCTGCATTAGCGACAGCGGACGGCTGTAACGAAAGCCCAGGCCTGCAATAGCGACAGCGGACGGCGGTAACGAAAGCCAAATGGGCGCCATCAGACCTCACGGAGTCGGCTGATGCTAATGGATACTGGGGGTGTTAGCTGCCTGCAGGGATGACATAACAGTTTCCCCTCAAATGTAACTAAGCCAAAGACCTGTTCCCTGGGTTTCTGCATGAGAGATAATCGCCCTCTCGCCGTAGACGCTGAGCTCAGGGAGAACGTTGGGCAGAGCAGATGGTGTCGCTGCTAGTTTAGGCGATTTGGACATGCCTCCACCGGAGTCGTTCTTTTTTACGCGGGAGTTCTCACTGATAAGCCACCTAGAATGTTCTAGAACTCCCCTTGGCGCTGGGAATTAGCATTTCCGGCTAACGAGGGGGGTTTAGCCAAGACTTGGCACGGTTGAGTGCGAGTCGTGTCGCGGAAATGGAGCGGCGTGTGAGCGCGGTTCGGGATTCATTGCAGCTCTGACTCGCCTGTGAAGCAGGGCAGTGTACTGTTGCTGCAGTCCTGTCTGACGGTCTTCAGCCACACTGTCGGGGTAAATGTCAGCGGCTGTAATTACACTGATGCTCCAGTAGAGTTACGATTTTATGGGTCCTAAAGACCAGATCCTACAGAAATGTTAATGAATCCACGTATATATGGATTCTTCATGCAGTAGTGCCCAAACCTCTTATTGATCTCTGTATGTTTGTCAATTGACAGATCCACACGCAAGAAAAAATACAGCGTGCCTGATAATCACCGAATGCACCCCCTCCCCCCACAGATTCCTCACCTACTGCTATCTGCTAGCCTTCAACGCCTGGCTGCTGCTGGCCCCAGTCGTGCTTTGCTATGACTGGCAGGTCGGCAGCATCCCGCTGGTGGAGTCCGTGTGGGACGTGCGCAACGTCGCCGCCCTGCTGCTGGGTGTGGTCGTGGTCGGCCTGTGCCTGCACTGCCTGGCCTCGCTGCAGGTGAGTAGAGATGATTCCTGACTGTATCCAGCTGGCCTGTGTTTACCTTTAATGTTATATGCACGTTTGGACTGTTTGATGCTCCATCACTCATTAGAAAGGCACTAATACTAACCCTTGACTCGCACACACACAGAATGTGTGTTATAAGTGTTACCTTCTTTGGAAGGATCACCTTGCCGACAGGGAAATAGGCAGCTCTGAGAAGATCCCTGGTGCTTGTCTGCAGTTACTCATAATGTTGTCTTTCTGGGCACTTTGCGGACTTTGTTGCCCCCCCAACCCCCAGCCCCCCGCCGAGATGATCTCCTATGTCCAGGCATCAAAAAACATGCTTCATGTCCATAAAAGAGATAAAACTTTGAAGACTGGTCTTATTAACTCCGGACTGCAGCTCTCTCAGAGCTTGCTGCACATTGTTGTGGTCCATACCTCTGCTTCAGCATGTCCTGCTCAGAGATGATGCATGACGTCCCCCTGCTTTGGGGGCTTTTTGCTGCATTTCCCCCATGTGGTCGGGGAGGTCGGCCCCTGGTGTTCACCAAGTGCTGTTCAGCTACAGCTCCCCATCGTCTGATGGGCATTTCCATTAGAACATGGTTGGAGCAAACTGACTGGAATCAATTCAGTACAAAAATTCAATTGATATTTATTTGTGTAGCTCAGGTCACAATATTACATTGTATTACATTGTCTTAAAGTCGTCGTCCCCCCCCCCCCCAGAGAGGAAGCCAGAGGCGAGAGTGGCAAAGAAAAACTCCCTAGTAGGAAGAAACCTTGGGAGGAACCAGACACAAAGGGGGAGCCCATCCTCCAGGGGCTGACAAAGGAAATCCAAAATTACAAAGTCACGGTTTATGATGTAACATTGGGTATAGTCCAGGTGTAAGAAGAAGGTCCAGCTGATGTCAGGACAGGCTGGAGAAGAAGCTGCTTCCTTCGGCGGGATGGAGGGGTGCGGCGGCCCAACAGCAAGCAGCTGGAGGGGCAGATGTGTAGCCAGGCTGGGCCGGCAGGCAGGGAACTGGACAGTACATTAATATGACTGTGTGACAGATAGTTGAAATTATGTGAAGTATTTCGTAGTGCGGTATGGAGATAAGGAGGCTCTATTTAACCACGGCAGCTTAACTAGGCAGGAGAGGTGGGGGGGGGACACAGCCATGATGAATCACTGAGCACCAGCACTCCAACAACACAGGGGACACGTGAAGCCAGAGTGACTGCACTGGACACCCAGTTCATATAAAATCAATGACACTGATCCCCAGCCAACTCTGGTTGTAGGTCAATAGGACCAAGCACACTATAGCCCTAGCTGGAGGTGGGAACTAGCTATCAGTGTTTCCCAATCCGGTCCATGGGGACCCACAGCCGGTCCACATTTTTGCTCCCATCTAGCTCCCTGCCAGACAGTCCACATTTTTGCTCCCATCTAGCTCCCTGCCAGACAGTCCACATTTTTGCTCTGGACGTGGACTGTCCGTGGGTCCCTGAAGGCAGCATTGGGAAACACTGTGCCAGGCTAAACAAGTGAGTTTTTAGCTTTGACTTAAATACCAGGACTGGAGAGGCTTCCCATGTTCCTGGGGGGTCGCAGTCAGGGTTTAGGCCAGCAGATCTGAGTCAGTACCACTTGCATATGGAAGAATAAGCAGATGGTGGTAGATCAGCTAGAGCTAATCTTCCAGTCCAGTTAATGTAGCGAGTCCTGCTGCTCTCTGTCAACACAAGATACATTTTGTTGACATGCAGCAGTTCTTTTACATAGTAGATGCTTTTATTCAGTAACATACATTTTTGAGATACCAGGGACAGACAGTCCCCAGAGCTTTTAGAGGTTAAATGCACAACAGTGAAATTACTCTGCTGACCGTGCGATTTGAACCAGTGACCTTCCGATCAGAGGCAGCATCCCCACCCGCCGAGCTAAGATGTTATTCTCCTTCTCCAAAAACTGCATAAAGTTATACCGCACCACCCCCCATGAGCTTGGTGACATACTGGCTGAGCGAATCATTTATAGCGTGCAGGCTGGTGAAGGTTGATTTTGAGTTGTGAAATCCTAGAAAGCCCCCCCCCCATATCCCCCATGGGATGTGAGCGCTCCGGCCCCCAGAGGTGTTTTCACATGCTGCCACATTAAGTAATTCACATTAATGGCTTCTTTTGCATTGGATTTTCCCCTATTGTTTATTGTTGTATTGTGGCAGCCTGCATTATTTTTCACGAGTAAGGGTATTATTTTAACTGACTAACCATGACCACTGAATAGGCCCTTTCCATTCATATTCTGTGCTGCTGCTATAGCATTAGCGTTAGAGTGAGTCTGTGTGCTATAGCGTTACCATTAGCGTGTGTGTGTGTGTGTGTGTGTACACGTGTTGTAGCTTATGTGTGTTATAGTGTTAGTTCATGTCTGCTGTAGTGTTAGAACATGTTGAGCTAGGATAGGATCTTAAGCAACCATTTCAATCAAAAGGATCTGGGTTCTTGCTGTGTGCTAGGGTGACCAGATAATCCATGTCAGGGAGGACACTCTGAGCTAGGACAGGAATTGTAAATTACCAATTCAATTAAACGGACCTGGATTTCACTTGAGCACTCAGTTCTTGCTGTGTGCTGATTGGTCAGTCTCCTATAATCATGCATGTGTCACTAATGCTAATATGAAACAGCTGGATGAGTCTTTCAGTCAAGGAAACAAACCAGTCAAAGCACAAGAAGAGCTGAACTATTTAGCTGAGCACAGGAGCCTTTCAATTAGAAAGTAGTTTGTAAAACCCGAAGTAGCTCAAAGTGTCCTCCCTGACATGGATTGTCTGGTCACCCTACTGTGTGCTGATTGGTTAGTCTCCTGTAATCATGCATGTTGATGCGAAACAGCTGGATGCGTCTTTCAATCAAGCAAACAAACCAGTCAAAGCACAAGAAGAGCTGAATGATTTAGCCGAGCGCGGGAACCTTTCAGTTTAAAAGCAGTCTGTAAAACCTGTAGTAACTCAGTGTCCTTCCTGACATGGATTAGGTGGTAACGCTAGCTGTAGCAGTAGCTTTAGCATGTGCTATAGTGTTAGCGTGTGTATGCATATGTGTTGTAATATTAGCGTTAGTGTTTCTGCATATATGTGCTATAGCATTAGCGTGTTAGTGCATGTGTGTTATAGCATTAGTGTATGTGTGTAGGCATTTGCGTGTGTGCACATGTGCTATAGCGTTAGCATGTGTGCTTTAGCGTTACCGTGTCTGCTATAGCATCAGTGTGTGTGTGCTATAGAGTGACCACTGGTCCATATTTCATCCGGACAGACCGGTTTTCCAGGACTGCTGTTGGTTGTTCTCCTTTTAGGTCCCTTGTCGTCCTTTTTTTTTTTTTTGTTCTTCCCACTACACCGTCCGTCAACAACTAGCACGACTTTGTGTATGACATAACCGCCGCCGCCCCCAAAACATTTCATGGGTGTCCTCCTTTTCGAGCTTTATTCCTCCTTTTTGGACACAGGTGTGCTTCTTTTTAGAGTCATGCCGGTGGTCACCTTAGTGAACTATGGCATTAGCATATGTGCTGCTGCTATAGCATTAGCGTTAGAGTGCTGTAGCATTAATGTGAATGTGCATATGTGATTTAATGTTAGTGCATGTGTGTGTGTGTGTGTGTGTGCGCCCTACAGTGGTAGCGTGTAAGTACGTGTGCTATAGCGTTAGCATTAGTGTCTGTGTGTGTGTGTGTGTGTGTGCTACAGCGGTCGCGTGTATGTGCACGTGTGCATGTTCTATAGCGTTAGCATTAGTGTGTGTGTGTGTGTGTGTGTGTGTGTGCTACAGCGGTCGCGTGTATGTGCACGTGTGCATGTTCTATAGCGTTAGCATTAGTGTGTGTGTGTCTGTGTGTGTTAAGGCTGTTCGCTTCGCCAGTGTTAAGGGGCCCATTATTTCCCTCCATTAGCCACCCTGTCACACGCTTCATCTGCTTCTATTAAAGCGCTCATTTGAGGTGTCCTGTGTATCCTTTTGACTTGCCTGTGGGAGGCAGTGATCACCAGGTTCCAGGCTTTATGACAGCTTTTGCTGAACTTGTGCCCTGCGGGGCTGTGAAGGTAGGGCGGGGTCAGGGGTCACTCAGCAAAACTCCCTTTAATTCCGCTGAGGAAACAGTGCATTCGTTTTGCAAAGGGCTGCGTATCTGATTCATTCTGATAATATATTCCTTTACTGCACATTTGTCAATGGATAAGATTAATAATTATTTTTTACTCGGTCATTAAGATGCTTATGAATTTGTTAACAAATTCATTATTGCACCGTCGCTGCGGATAACATGTATCGCATTTCAATCTGCTGCATTTTTAATGCGCTGCCTTTTTTAATGTGCTGTTGTTGGCAGGGAACAAAGTGTCATGTCCTTGGGATAAGGAGCCATAAGTTACTCTTTGAGTACGTTTTCACGGTGTAAACTAGCATATTAGCATAATGCCAAAGGAGAGAAGGTTGCCAGTCATAATTAATAACATGGACTCATATCATCTCATTCATTACTAGTAAGACGTAATAACAGTGGCAGGCAGAGAGCGTGCTATGGAGTTTTCTTCCAGATAACAGAAGCGTTTTCTAACCAATTTGCTACTAATATGAATATTATGAGCCTCAACCATGATGTTGGTTTTAGGCAACATCAGCTGGATAATGATAGTTGGTTTTTCTTGTTTTTTTTTCCACTGCAATAAAAATCTTACTTAATAATAACTCTTTTCTGTGGTCTTGTGCTCTCCACTTCCCGAGGTGGGCTTTGGGCAGCCATAGACCCAACTGTGGTTTTTGTAAAGGGTTTAATGCAGGGGTGGCCAATCTTATCCGCAAAGGGCTGGTGTGTATGCGGGTTTTCGCTGCAACTCCCTAATTAGGTCACTAATTAGAGGAGTGATTGCCTGAAGAGTCCTCACACCTGGGTTTGAACAGCTGACCTACAGGTTATCCCAAAAACCTGCATACACACCGGCCCTTTGCGGATAAGATTGGCCACCCCTGGTTTAATGGCTGGAGGATGGACTGTGAAGAAAAGTTTGGTGGTGAGAGAGGGGTCGGTTGTGTGGGCGGAGCTGACGGGGTGGCAGATGAGGAGGGGAGGATTTAAGCTGACACACGATGCCACAGTTGATGCCCCAATGCCATTTGTCTCTGCCGTTGATTATTGATGAGCGGAAGGTATCTCTGTCGGGACCCTGCCGTCCTGATGGCCAGCTTGTTTGCCCCCAAAGAGCCGTTCAGGAAGCAGAACTCCCATCTGACCGCGTCTCAGATTCCCGCTTCTGTATCTGGGATGCGGGTGTACTTGCCATAGCGGTTCTGGAGGGTGACCTCTCCTCGTGGGGGTGACGGAAGCACCAGCGTGCGCGCTCCGCCTCGACCCCAAGGGCACCATGTCCCAGCATGCTTTGTACTGCTGACGGTAAGAAGCATGAAGTCATTAGCAGTGTGAAGAATAACCACAGCGATAATCTTTTGAACTTGAAGGACTGCAGAATAGATTTTTTTGTGGATCTTGGGCTGTGAACAATGATCTTGTGTTTCTAGTCTATTTAGTATACAGAATCTGCTCTCTGAGCTGTTTTATTCTATGTATTGGTCTATTTCTATGTTTAGGGCCTTTGTGTACATTTATATATAAATGTTTGGCCTGTTGTAATGGACTCCAAGGTCACATTATCTGCATATTGCATGAAGCTTTGCTGATAGGGCTGCCTGCCCCAGACGATTTGTCTGTTGGCCTGGACTTCTTTCGTCTGCCAGCAAGCGCGGGGCATGGGTCAGAAAGGGTCCCACTGGATTGGTGCGAGTCATTAGCCACTGGCCAATGGGAGATGAGCCAAGAGTAAACCTGTGGACACATGACCTACTGTGCCATAAACAAAGACAAACTGGAGCACCGGGATAGATGGGGTCTATATAAAAACTGCAGTGGAAAAGGACAGTTTCTGGGTCTATGAGGATGAGCACCAGTGAGAAGAATAAAGCGTATGGAGTACTGAGGGAGGCCCTCTGTCCAACACTGGGAAGTGTGTAGAGTGGAGGTCTCTACTGAACACCAAGTGAGTGTGTTTAGTGAGGCCTTCTACCAAACAAAAACGGAGAGTGTGTTGTGTGAGTATGACAAAAGCTCAACACTATGACAGCAAGGGTCACGTTTTTGAGAAAGGGGGTCTCTTACAAGGCCGGCCAAGAGGCGGGGTGATGCCTTATCAACACTGACCATCACTGCTTGTTGACGGCAGCTGGAAGCTGGAGTATCTCAGAGCTGAGAAGCCAAAGACCTGCATTACTGCTGAATCAAACAGAGTCGAGCTGACCTGCCTGGTGGCCGGAACCGGGCCAGTCCTCCAGAACTAGCTGGGCCCTTTCTGGATGCAGCAGCCATGCTTTCAGTCTCCTGCAGGCACCTCACAGACAGCCAGCTGCCTGTTATTGCTCTGAAGCCAGGTGTTTCTGAAGAGGCAATTATTGCATTAGGAAATTTTCACCTTTTTCATTCTAGTTTGTCGCGTCTCCTTGTGAGAATAATTAGTCTAATAACTTCATGCAAAATAAATTATCTTTTTTTTTGGGGGGGGGGGCTATATCTGCTCTGTTTATATCTCCTGCTTCAATATGTACACTGGTGGATGAAAAATAGGAGCAGATGTTTGGAAGGATGCTCACACCTCCAGGGTTCGGATCTCACCTCTGCTCTGTGCCAGTGTCACAACAGCTTCCTCACTCAGCCCATAGACATGCAGCTATTTATCTTGGCGTCTGAGTTGCCCATTGTGTGTCGAGGGCTGGGTGTGTCCTGCAGTGGGCTGCCATCCCAAACAGACCCCCATACGCTGTACTGGATAAGCAATCAGAAGATTGTGGAATGCATGTAGAGAATCTTGGATATCCGTTAGTACAAGGTCATGCATGCATGAAGGCGAAAAATCTTACGCAGGCCGTCGCCGGGTTACAAACGAGTTCTGTTCCCTAAGTCTGTCTTTAAGTTGAATTTGTAAGTTAGCCAGAAAAATAATGATACAGGACATAATAATTCTAATAATACAAAAGTAACTATGAATGGACTGTACTGCACCTCAAGCCGACGGACTGCTGAAGCTGCGCAATGTTTTCACGAGCGTCATAAAATAGTGTCCGTTCATTATTACGAACCACTGTATTTAACCTGAGTTTTTAATATAATAGGCTTTGTGGCAGTCCGTTCACAAGTACAAGTTGTCCATAAGTCGGACGTTCTTAACCTGGGGACTGCCTGTATGGGGTTTATACAGCCATACACATAAGATGTTATATATCTTATGATATAGTAATTTGTGATTCGGTACAATAGTCTATGTTAGTCCAGCCCGGTTTTTGGGTGCTCCTCACCTATCAGCAGTTAGCCCATGCTAACAGGTGCTAAAAGCGGCGACCCGCTGTTTTTTTCTTCTTCTTCCTACTATTGAGCTTCCAGAGCAGATTGACAGCCGGAGGGCGGGGTTAGGACAGGGTTGGGGGCGGGGTTTCAGCTCCACTGCCAACTCAGATTGGCCTGCTGGCTTGACCACACGAGCACCTGGGTCACCATGCACACCAACACAAAGCACCTCTGTTGGCCAACCAGAAATGCTACAGGGCTCCACGGCCGGTGCGGGATTGAGGGATGAGTGGCCCGATGGCAGGTGGCTTGAGGATGTCCCTTCCTCTGCATGATGAGTTAAAATTACAAGCAGTATAGGACTATTGGTGCAGCAGTAGATGTGATGATACTGTGTTGGTGTTCGGTAAATCAGATCAGAGGCTGCAGCTACAGGCTACAGCTGAAATCCTCTTTTCCATTTTCTGTTTCCAAATTGGACCTTGATGTTGTTGGCATGGTACCTTAAAATGCATTATTTTTAAGCAATAAAATAGCAGTTTCCCATTTTTTATTTAGCTATAGATCTAGCCTGATAACTATTTGTGTAAAACCAGCAATCGTTTAATTGATCATTGATTGTATCTCATACAAGTACATTCTTTCCAGCAAGTCATTGTAATCTGCTCCACAGTAATTTGCAGTAATGTGAGTTTCTCTGAGTGAATGGACCCGAAATTGAGAAATTCAGAAAATATTTCCTGCCCTCCTGAAAGATGGTGATTGAGTAGCACACTGTCTGTAATCCTGTCTGTAAAAGTAGAAAAAAATGCAGTTGCAATCAGCGTATCATATAACCTGATGGAGTGCTGGTGCGGTATGTATGAGTATGTGGCATGTATGAGTACTGTGGAGAGGTGACCAATCATCTTCTCAGGTGAATTTAATTCAACTATTGCTACATTTTGATTGGCCACTGCATATATATGTGCGGTGAGGGCTACTGCAATTGGTAGGATGCCGGAACCAACATTGCGAACATGGGAATGGGGCAACCTATGAAACGGGGTTCCCATGAAGGTGGAGCTGCTTGTACTGGGAGGATCCAGGGTCTGCCCAATCCCCCTTCAGAAAGGTAGCCCTGCCTCTTCTGACCATTTATGGTAAACATGGGTGTCAGAAAAGAGGCATGGCAATGTAAAAACATGGCTGAGGTCACCAAAGTATAACAGCTGGCTTTCTGCATCTCCTCCTTCCTTCCTTCCTCCAGAGGCTGGAGAACCAGGAGCTCTTGGTGGGTCTGCTACTGCTGGTGTTTCCCTTTATCCCGGCGAGCAACCTGTTCTTCCGCGTGGGCTTTGTGGTGGCCGAGCGCGTCCTCTACATGCCGAGGTGAGTGTGTCCTGGCCAGCTGAGACCTCGCAAGTCATGCAGCCGTAGGGACGTATGGAGGTAAAGTCATGGACGTGGTGACTATCTGTAAGTCCAGGCTTTCTAAGGAACATCATGGCTGTGTTGGTTATTACATACAGATATTATTTCCTGATCCAAATTCAGTATTATTCTACCATGTTTGTTAGGGGGTATGGGTTGTTTAAGTGGGTTTGAAAACACAGAAATGAGAGTGGAGGTTTGTAGGGGGGGAACCAGGGCGATTCTTAGATTTTTTCAAGGTCGAGGACACAAGAGGGGCTTAAAAAAAAACCTTATGATTAGCCAATGATGTGTTTTGAGTTGATGAGTGACAGGAGAGGGGGCACTTCGGTAGCCAGTCAGCTTCCAGCTGGGACAGGTGTCCCTGTGGCCCCGCCCTTGTATAACCCCTGGAGGAAAGTATCTGAAAAGAGAAAACAGTGGGTCGCCTGGTGAGCAGGACTCATCAGAGACATCAGAGGAAGCATCATCCAGCTGCTGTTAGGGATTTAGGGATCCTGGGTCCAGTCAAGGGAGACCGGAGCACGTGTCGGCCCCCTCCCCCATATTCAGGAGGGCTCTTCTCAGAGCGCTGGGGCATTAGTGAAGCTTGACTGACCAGAATGGCCAGAGCTTTGCACGCCGGATCTGCTGTCATTCTTTCCATCCTGGCTGGCTGGGGAGGGGTGGGGTGAGCCTTACAGGAATCCATGGAGGTCTGCTATCTGTCCCCCCTCCCTTTTTGCACGGTGAAGCTCCCTTTCCCAAGGCCGGATCTCGAGTGCCTCCCCTCTTTCCCGGTGAAGGCTCCAGCTCAGGCCTGTCAAGCCTGTCATCCAGTCCCCTGATTCTCTTCATGTCTCCCTGCTGCCTCTCCGTTCTCAGCCAGTAAAAATGCTTTTTTTTCCCAGAATTATTTCTTTGTTTTTCTCTCTCTCTGTTCCTCCACCACCACCACCCCCTGCCCTGCCGATCCCTCATAGCCCGAGAATTGCTATGAGCATCCTCTGCACGTGGTGATTTATCACCGGTGAGGGCTTGTCTCCTCTGTGTCACCAAGCCGGAGCAGGAGACCTAAGGTGGTGTTGCATGTCCGCCTCTCCCCGCCATCCCACCACCACGCTGGCGCGCTCAGCCTGGGGTTCCCACCTTTCCCGATGCACAGCCCTCACCCCATCTTTTGATTTGTAA